AAACAAGGTAACACAATAATATATAGGGTTTTTATTCATTTCTATTAAGACTTCTTGAACCTACATGTTTTTCTAAAATCATGAACAATAATGTTAAAAGTATTTCCGAACAATCGTAATACTGGGAAACCCACTAGTGACACTTTGTTTTGAAAAAGTGATTAAATTATCTGGATGAGGTGCTTATATACAGTACTAGGATAGAGGGCACATTGATGTAGGTGGAGAGTATCATGAGATAAATATCACTTTGGGCAATTGCATAGGGTACAAAAGACTGGAGCAAGTGAGAAAAGTCAAACCAATGCTTAGGTAGGCAGAGAAGAAGCCCTGGTTGTCGAGTAATAGCTAAAAGTGTCAGTGGAAGAAAGAATGTTTTGGAAAGAATATTTTAGCTGAGAGTATGAAGATTATTTTAACTTTGTATAAAAATGACAAGGCTCCATCTACAATACAACCTGTAGATTTAATCCTCTTACTACTGAAAGGATATAAATGTCATAACATAAAATTTTAGGATAACTGGTCCATCTAGGCTGTCCCATCCACTAAAAACAACAACAAAAAAATCCAGGCTAAACCTTATCTTTCAAACATTCATCAAGCCTTCCCTTAAACTTACTGCATCAACCACCACACCTGAAGGCAAACTATCCCAAAGACCAACCAACCATCCTGTTAGAAATATAAAACTGTCTTAGCTGAAGATGACTCCTACCTTGCCAAAATTAGTATTTGTGTCCCCTAGTCCTACCATTCTCACCATTAAGCAGGAAAAGAGATGATGCATGAACACCATCAATTCCTTTAAAATAATTACAGTAATCTTAACCCAAGTATCATCATGATTTCTGGGAAGTGCAACATTGGCATCCACAGTTTTGAACAAAATGTCCATAGTTTCATGAGAATAGTAGTGCTAAAACTAAGTGAATATACTCTTAATCTTCATAACTATGCCAAAATGGTTTATAAAAATAAGTTGTATGAATAATTCTGTTACTTGCAATCCATATATTATTCCACAGATGACTTGGATGACTGTTCATGCTGGTAACTTGTTTGATGATGTATAGTCAAAACTTTATTAACTCCAAGAAATTAAATATTTATGTGTATTTTGTTCATTCCACCAGTAGCTAAGTCCATAAAAGTATGCAATGCTATAAAAACTTGGACGATTATAAATAATTCTTAGCAGGATGGATGTCAGATGTGAAAGTAAGAGATTGTATAACTGCTAAGGTGAATTTTTGATGTAACTCCTATTTTTTTTCAATGTCATAGTCACTAATATGAGTGTAAAATTTATGATCATCCATATTTAGTATTAGCAGTATTTATTCATCATGATGTCACCTGTATGCCCCTCTTTCTATAACAAAAGGTGCCTGACTGACCCAAGCCTGATCTAACTACAGTACCTATATCATTGTATTTAGAAACATTATTCATTAGTGCTGTAGAAATTATGGGATGCTAATCAAACCTCAGTAGTTTCACTAACACAGGCCTGGTAATCTGTAAAACAAAGATATACCCAGTACTGAACCCCATCAACTGATGACGAGAAAAACAGTGGAAAGGCATTTTCAAGTTTTTTTAACTGCCTAGAATATTTGCACCCTGCTGTCTAACTTGGCAGACACTAGGAGGAAACTGCATGACTTTGTGATATCAGACATCATTCTGGAAAAGTCCATTCAATGTCCTTCTTGAGGTAAAGAACCAAAGACTGAATACAAATATTGCAAATCTGGCTTAACCAGTGACCTATACAATGAAATTATAACATGTTTAGACTTGTATCAAATATTTCTGCCCATACAACCTAAAATCCTATTTGCCTTACCACGAGCAATAACATATTGCTTTGATAGATTAAGAGACTGATCAACCAAAACACCAGGCTCTTTTTTGCCCATAACACTGCTTAGATGGGGAGAGTGGAGAGACAAGTACTGCTGAAAGAAATTGAAGCTAAAATGAGAAACTAAAACAAAACAGCTTGTTTTCTCAAGCATATAAGAGACCTAAAAGTGACTTGATCGATTTTTGCAATCCAAATACAGTTTTTTTTTTCTTTGGGTAAAATGTTATTAACTTGTGAAATGAGATGCCAGATAAATTGGCACATGTTCTTAGTTTAGGTTTAAATAACTGCTGGATACGTTTATAAATGTATGAAAAACTGCAATCATTTTTCAATGCTTTGGTTGATTACTTAGATATATGGGAGTGTGATTTGATGAGCTAAATACCTTTCTGAAATCTTAAACTTTATGTCTTAGATATAAGAATAATAACTCTATTTTCCAAAATTTATTTTTCTTACTTAACATTCCTCATTTGGAGATTTAAAAAAATTCCTACAGGCTTAAATACTTTTTGTGAAATTAATTACACAAAAGTAAGTCTTTATTTTTATTTACAAACTGTCAAATATATATTTGAATATTAATTTTACTTGGAAAAATAAATTCATAACTTTCATATTAATAAAAATTAACAGTTTTGAAATATTTTATCAATATTTATTAGAACTTTTAAGATGATTTAGACAAGACAATAAATATTCAATAAACATAAAGTTATAACAAATTACAATTTATGATTTTCTTTTTTGATTTGGAAAATTTAACCATACTTTCCCAAAATAATCCAAATGTAAGAGTTAAAACAAAACAAGCTATTTATACCACATAACCAGCATAATTAAAGATTCTCAGCTTTGAACACTATGAAAATAAAGATGCATAAAACACTATATTTTGCATGTTAATCACACTTTAACTTTAAAACTTGTCTCTGAAACTTTTAAAGGATAAGGAATAAGGATGTATGTATGTGTGCGTGTGTGTGTGTAGATATATAAAATAAGCTAAACCTTCAGCATCAATATTTATTTTGCAGAAAAAAAAATGTTTTACAATATTTGAATCCACAAGTAGTTTAGATCTAAAGACAGCCCATATTTATATTTTTATATTTTATAAATTCAAATCCTTGAATTTCACTAACCAATTACAGTGAAACAACACAGTAATTACAACATAACGTTTTGGGGAACAACATGGGACCTACTGGTCTATCCTCTAAACTAAATAAAAATCTTAAAGCCAGCCCTTATCATTCATATACTTATCAGGCTTTTTCTTAAACACACTTAAATTTACTGCCTCTACAACATCTGAAGGCAAGCCATTCCAAAGGCCAACCACCCTGTAAGAAGAATGAAAAGAATGAAACGGTCTTAGCTGAAGATGACTCCTACCTTGCCAAAATTTATACTTCTATCCCCTAGTCCTATTCTCACTGTTAAATATGAAAAAAGATGATGCACCAACACTATCAATTACTTTTCAATCTTAAACACCTCAATCAGATCTCCCTAACTCTTCTTTTTTCAAGAGAAAACGATTTGAGAGATTTTAGCCCCTCCTCATATGACAACCCCTCCATCCCAGGCACCATTCTACTAACCTTTCTCTGAACCCTTTCCTACAATTCAAGGTCTTTCCTAAGGTAAGGAACCCAAGACTGAACACACTATTCCAAATGTGGCCTAACCAGTGACCTGTATATAACCTCTTTAGACTTGTATTCAATATTTCTGTAGATATAACCTAAAATCCTATTTGTCCTACCACTAGCAACAGCACACTGCTTGGATGGCTTTAGAGACTGATCCATTATTACATCAAGATCCCTTTCCTTCATAACACTGTTATGGTTATTCCCATCCAAATTATTCTTATAATTCAAATTATGATAATCTACATGCATTATCTTGCATTTTTATACTAAAAAAACCATCTGCCATTTATTTGCCCAACTCAGTAAATGATCTAAATCCTTTTGTAAAGCAGCAGCATCCTCTTTTCAGGCAGTAACACCCAAGACCTTAATGTCATCTGCAAATTTAAGTAATTTATTGACTATTCCTTCATCTATGTCATTGATGTATATCAAAAAAGAGCAAAGGTCCTAAGACTGAGCCCTGAGGCACTCCACTTGTGACATTAATTCAGTTTGACTGAACTCCATTTGTAACAACCCTCTGCTTTCTTCCAACCAGCCACTCTTCTATCCAATTTGCTAACTTATCCCCCACACCATAATTGTTTTTACAAGCCCTTTATGTGGCACCTTCTCAAATGCTTTCTGAAAATCCGGATACATCAAATCTACAAAGAATGTCAAAAGATTTGTAAGGCAAGATTTTCCCTTAGTGAAACCATGCTGACTATACAATAAAATTCTAAACTTTGTTAAGTGACTTTGCAAAGCATCTTTTAACAGATGTTCCAAAACTTTTCCAATAACTGATGTAAGACTAATGGGCCTATAATTACTAGGACAATTGTTATCACCTCCCTTGAAATAAGGAGTTACATTAGCTAACTTCCAATCCACCGGTGTCTGCCTGCTATTCAACTTTCAAGGACTGACAAAAAATAGTATTAAGTGGCTCACATAGCCAATATTTAACCTCCTTCAAAACCCTTGGTAAAATATTTATCTGGCCCAGGTGCCTTATCGTTTTTTAAACTTCCCAATTTTTTTATTAACCAGCTCAGAATTAATATATATTATAAGTAGGAACTGATAATAGTATTAATACAAACAAATTATTATTACAGTGATATGATTCTAGACTAGTCTAGACTTAACAGTTAACTTGCCTGTTGCCAATAACCAGTAGTTGCAGTATTGTAAATTGTAAAACTATTAGGAAGAAAGCATTAAGTCAACAAATTAAACACAATGTTTAAAAATGAAATTACTTAATCAGGCTAACTAATCGTTTCAGTAATTGGTCTTTATAAATTATAATATATTATAATTCAATTGATATAAACGCACGTGTCCTATAACCTGATTTTTTTTTTTTTTTCAAGTTAACAAACACACATAATGAAATGTCAGTAACCAACGATTCTAATAACTTGAAATACAATAATTGAAATTATTTATATTTTATAGTAATAACTACTCACCTGTGAGAGCACGGCATTATCTGGAACTAAAAGCCGTGCCAAAATACTTTCCAACGTCTCCGCCATTCTGCTAAGATAGCGCGCTCTGGTATAATGTTTTTCCTCAATCAGAATCCAAAATCAAAGTAATAAATTAGACACTTATATCAGTATTTTATCGTTCAATTTTACGGGAATATATATATATATATATATATATTGTTGTAGCTCAAAGCTGAAATAAAAGGGCCAAGTAGCTGTAATTATTATCTAATTACTTGAATTAGTCTCCAAAGGCTAAATTTGATTTAAATACTAACTCCAGGTCGGTATGTGAATAAATAGATTGTGAAAAAATTTAAAGACAGTTGCAACTGTTTTATATATCGGATACTCAACAATTACTATAAAAACGCAAATATTTTGATTATCTAAATATATAACATAAAGTAAACTGTAAAAAGTGTAAAGGTTGAATAAATTGGCAGACGTGCTTAAAACGGTTTTACATTTTTGTTAAACAAGACACTATAGAAATGAAACATAATGTTATAAGCTATATTTTTAAGTTATAATTTAGATGTTAGCTAGGGTACACAAAACGTTAAGATCAAATAAGTTCATGAGAGTTGGCCTGATATATTCTAAATTGATGCCACAAAAACCAAGACTTGGCAAGAGTCTTTGCGAAGAATCTAGAACAAAGATTAGATGTAAATATAAGTGAGCCGCAGTGAAGAAAATAGGGGTAAACGCCGTGTACCTAGTTCTCAGTTAGCATTTTCTTCCCCTTTGGTTAAGTTTAGTACCACTGGAGATGTTTATTAACTCTATCGTTACGGGTCAAAGGCCATGTCAGCGCATTTTTTGACTTACATTCAAAATTTTATTGAACTACTATTTTATGAATTTATGTCAATAAGTTTGGTATAAAATTGTAGACGATAATATAAATTTTAGTATTATACATTAGTCAATTTCTTAATTAAAAAGTAAATATTATAAGAACACACCTGAATATCGATTTTTGTGTGTCACGTGGTATGTTGAATGCAGCATTGGTTCAAATTAGATGTGTGTGATGTCCAAATGCAAAGTTTATAGTTTCTTACGAATTAGGAACTCAAATTATCGATATTGACAAGCCAGAATATAAAATAAGAACTTCAGTCTTTTCTATTTGCTTTTTTATACCTATCACCCCACTGCTCCTTCTAAACGTGTACCTAGTTCCTAAAACCCATTTCCTTTCCTGGTGAATTAATCACTAAGTTAAGTAAGCTTACAGGGTGAATCAGTGAAGTAAAGATGGAGTATTTTCTAGCCAGTAGAACAAATCAATCATTGTTTTTATTTTTCTCTTCATCGTAAAGTTGTACAAAGAGATGTGAAAAAACAAACCCAAAAACAATTTGCTATCTTTTATATAGACTGGTCCTGAAATTATTTTCATAAAATATTTTAAAAGAACCTGCCAACGTAAGAACAACGTTAAAATAATTTCAACAAAGAGTAAACTTATATTTTGCTAAAAGCAAGACAATTAAAATACAATAGTATTAGAAATATTGTATTTTTAAACACTGCATTCTTTAGTTGATACTTCAGTGTGTTTTTCTAGAAGAATGGTGTGAAATAATAACATTCAACCCCCACCATGTCTGTTATATCTATCGTTTACATTGCGTTTCGCTCAGTACCAGAGCTCACCTGGTCGACTGGGATACAACAAGCATAATGGGGGTCTGAACACTATTTATATTATTATAATATATTCTATTTATAGAATAATAATTTTTGTTGTGTGAACACCCTTTTCTTGGAATGTGATTATAATCAATTATATTTAAGGGACAAATTTAATTAATTATAATCATGCTTAGTCAGCAAAAGGCACTCCTACCATATTACTGATATTGAGCAAAACGCTTTATCAGCAATGAATATAGAGGACACGCTAGGGAGTAAATACTATCATGAACCAAACTCAAACTCTAATAGAACATTCGGGCAAAAATCACCTTAAAAAGCAGAATTATTCTTGAATTACCACTCAAAACCTTCCTTTTCAACAGTGAAAAACACCCAAAATAAATTATTTTACGCATGTAGTCAAAATTAAAACTTGCCCACTTATTCATATTATTATTTCACAAGCCTACAGCAAATTGGCTAGGTATCTTACACTACAACCAAGACAGATATACTACATGAAACGCTGCAAATGTCCATGACCTATTTAAAAGTTGGTTATTTGTCATTGACAGTTGATTTACGTGGTTATAAATAAACAAGAGTTGTGATTTTGTTCTGAGCGGCTGTTTTTGAACATGACGCGTGTTTTCACTAAAGCTTAGACACAAAGCTACCTGGTTTAGTAAACAATTACGAAAGCTTTATATAAAGCGATATTTCAAACATATTTGTTTTATTTGAAAAGGCTGTTTTCCTACTTGTAAAATTTTATACGTACTTAGTGATGGTTGTGTCCTACTCTAGGCATATATTTTCCCATTACTGTGCATCAAAAAGCCAACATATAATATAATTAAAAAATGAGAATTTAAAATTTACAAATAGGTATCACAAAAAAGTAAGAAAACAAAAGCAGGAGATCTACTGGTGACAGTTTGCTCAAGCTACAAATCCCTATTATGAGTCCACTATAAAATTATTTCAAACGATATTTACTGTAGTATGTGATCGCACAGGAATTTTGCAAAAAAAACAAAAAAACGGAGAGAGTAGTTCTAAACTTAATTCGACCTCCTTAATTTTGTCGTGCTGCGAAATTTTATGAGTCCTTCACTTTCCGCCATAAAAAAAAAATCAGTTTTTTCCAAGCGTGCGCGTCAGTTGGAAACTACAACTCATTGATTTTCTAGTGCATTATTTTGAAACTGCCACGTGAAAGGTTCCCGATTTTGCTGTTGCACATCCTTACTTGAGACGCTATTGTTCATCGTTACTCTAGTTTGTTGTCTCTACATAAATTTCCTTGACTATATTTCAGCAAATTTTTAACAGTGAATGATTACCACAGTCGATTTTCTACTCAGACAATGGTGATGATTCTTTTACTGTCTCTTATACTTACCTGAAATCGTGAGTGCGCATTCAATTTTTATTACCACTGCATATAGCACTATTTCATATAGTTATTGCTATTTTTGAATAATTGGTGTTAAGGTGGCGATTGTAAATGTGGTCTATAATTGGCGACTTACGTTAAGTATGTCGCTGTTGTCTATTTTGCATGTATTATTTGTGCCTCCTTATTCTAGCAAACATTTGTGCACAGCAGGCTGTTGAAGAACATAGGTACATCTGTGTTGTATATCTTAGAACAAACATTATTCCGTTATAATAATGGTTGGAGACGGCTTGAATGGGTAATGAAGAAAACTTTAACATAAGTTTTAACATTACAGCAAATGTACAACGTTTCGACAAGGTTTTGTCATCATCAGGTACAAGTAATTTACACTGACACGGATATATATATATATACAGTATTGAACAAAGAAGTCACATGACCGGAACTGTTGAAAAATTAGAAAAGGTATCTAGGCACCCCGGGGTGTTGGTTTAGACTAGGGTTGTTTTGTTCAATTAAGGTCGATTCCTTGAATTTTCGTTTGTTTATATTGGGTTCTTTGTTTAAAAAAACATCAAATTTACCATAGAACATGAAAACAATAAACAGTTATCCTTTCTTAACCTCAAAATTAATAGATCGGACACACAGTTTAAAACCAAATTCACCGCAAAAACACACACACTATCTCTACATCCCTT